TTGTGCAGCCAGCGCGAACTCTTATCCCGGGTGAAAGGGGATCCTCAACTCGGGTATCGAGCTCCCACCCAGGAAGCGGGCCTGGGCGGCAATAGGAAACAGGCACTTTTACATCCTTCGTTTAGTTCTTCCCCAAAACAGTACAAATACAGACTGGCCAAATATTTTCCTTTCATAACCACAGTTTAATAGAAAAAATGGCCGGCTGATCGGAATGCTCTCCAAACAGCAGTCGGTATTAATAAAAAGGATAAGCTAAAATCAGGAATTACAAGAGGGAGCGCAGTCATAATAGACATCCTCGGTATATCTCAAACTCTCCCCCCCCCCGCCCTCACCCCGCTCTTGACCAATCCTCCCAATCCTATTCCAATCAAATCTTCCCATTTGGATCTCCTCCAAAATGAATGTCTTCTACCTCTATCCAAGAAAACCGAATGCTCAAAACAATATGCTAAAGAAAAAAAAGGCAAATCCAATATTGGCGTGGCACGCAGGTCGCAGTGCTATAGGCCACGCCCTTTCTATGTGAAAGGTTCCATACATTTTCACATTTTCATTTTCAAGTGGCATGCCACATGCTATGCCACGTGCGCCGTGCAATCTTGGTGTGAAAGCGCCTAACGGTCACGTGTGGCGTGTGTCACTCGGTTAACAATATGGCATTATTGGAAGTTGACCATGTTACTGTTGTTCCTGGGTAAACTTGCGTCAGTTATCTATCTACCACTTGGAGAAATGAAGTGGAGAACGTTAGGGCAGAGTGTGAGGTAATTTTTTTCCATTACCCTGAAAATACTTGTAAGGCTACTTTCACGACAAGGCATCACGTTGCACATGGTACGCTATTTAAAACTGAAAAAAAACAGAAATACACGGGACCTTCCAAACAAAACTGATGTGACACGTTGCATTTGCCACGTGCGACCTGCATGCCATGCCAAGATTTGACCTGCCCTTTTTTCGGTGTGTGACCAGGGCTGGCCGCTTTTCGGTAGCTGCATTTCTGTCTTCCTAAACATTAGATGACAAAGAAAGCTGATATAAATATTAAAGTTAAACCAAACACTATAATAAACGGATGAATATTATATTACAGTAACAGTGTCTGATGTTCATCGGATTCCATGCGTTACTTTCTATTTCACTGCACTGCATAAAACAATATACAATAAATACTTTATGAAACCAATAATATAACAACATTCAACAACATAAAGCACACCTGCACCTTTTTTATAGAAAATGTATTAGATGTATAACGTAAGAAAAGGCAATATTGAAGCTGTAAAATTGATTTATCTAAAAAGTATGTGACTATTCATAGTGTGTGCTGCAGGGCTGAAAGTTTAAATGCACTCTATGGGACTGTAGCTCTGTCTTTGGTGTTGCCCAGCTGGAAGACCCAGTTGAAGTGACATTGGATGAGATTTCCGCCGTGATGACTTTCACTTTGCCATTTTGCTTTAAATACTTTTCATTTGCATCAAAGCATCTGTAGTCGTAAAAAATAACAAAAATACAACCAGTGGAAAAAAATCCTTAGTGACGTCACCATCCGTCGATCGTCTTTTGTTTTCGTTTAGCAGAATTTCTGTAGCATTCCAGCTTTGAGAAAGGCTAGATCAGTAGCAACTCGAAGTGTCATGGCGT